AAAGATTAACTACTACAAATTGTAATTATTTTTTTTTATTATCACACTGGCCGATTCCCACCAAGGCAGGGTGGCCCGAAAAAGAAAAACTTTCACCATCATTCACTCCATCACTGTCTTGCCAGAAGGGTGCTTTACACAACAGTTTTTAAACTGCAACATTAACACCCCTCCTTCAGAGTGCAGGCACTGTACTTCCCATCTCCAGGACTCGAGTCCAGCCTGCCGGTTTCCCTGAACCCCTTCATAAATGTTACTTTGCTCACACTCCAACAGCACGTCAAGTATTAAAAACCATTTGTCTCCATTCACTCCTATCAAACACGCTCATGCATGCCTGCTGAAAGTCCAAGCCCCTCGCACACAAAACCTCCTTTACCCCCTCCCTCCAACCTTCCTAGGCCGACCCCTACCCCGCCTTCCTTCCACTACAGACTGATACACTCTTTGAAGTCATTCTGTTTCGCTCCATTCTCTCTACATGTCCGAACCACCTCAACAACCCTTCCTCAGCCCTCTGGACAACAGTTTTGGTAATCCCGCACCTCCTCCTAACTTCCAAACTACGAATTCTCATGCATTAATATTCACACCACACATGCCCTCAGACATGACATCTCCACTGCCTCCAGCCTTCCTCGCTGCAACATTCATCACCCATGCTTCACACCCATATAAGAGCGTTGGTAAAACTATACTCTCATACATTCCCCTCTTTGCCTCCAAGGACAAAGTTCTTTGTCTCCACAGACTCCTAAGTGCACCACTCACCCTTTTCCCCTCATCAATTCTATGATTCACCTCATCTTTCATAGACCCATCCGCTGACACGTCCACTCCCAAATATCTGAATACATTCCCCTCCTCCATACTCTGTCCCTCCAATCTGATATCCAATCTTTCATCACCTAATCTTTTTGTTATCCTCATAACCTTACTTTTTCCCGTATTCACTTTCAATTTTCTTCTTTTGCACCCCTCCCAAATTTTCCACCAATCTCTGAAACTTCTCTTCAGAATCCCAAAGAGCACATTTCATCAGCAAAGAGCAACTGGGGACAACCCCCCACTTTATTGTGATTCTTTTTCTTTTAACCCCAAACCCCTCTTGCCAAGACCCTCGATTTACTTCCTTTAAAACCCCCTCTATAAATATATTAAACAACCCGGGCATCACACATCCTTGTCTAAGGCCTATTTTTACGGGGAAAAAATTTTCCCCTCTTTCCTACATACTCTAACTTGAGCTCACTATCCTAAAAAAAACTTTCCCCTTTTCAAAAACCTACCCCCACCCCAAAACACCGCAACATCTCCCACATTGCCCCCTATCCACCCGTCAACGCCTTTTCAAATCCAAAATCCCACAAAACCTTTTTTTAGCCTTACAAAATACGTTCCTTATATTTTCACTGAAAAAAACCGGGTCCACACCCCTCAAACCTTTCCTAAAGCCTCCTTGTTCATCGCTATTCTTTTCCGTCTTACTCTTAAATTTTTTCAATAATAACTCTACCCTACACTTTTACCAGGTAACCAAAAAGACTTATTCCCCCCACAATTTTTGCACTCCTTTTTTCCCCTTTTTTTCCCTTTTTAAAAAAGGAACTAGCATGCTCCTGCCCAAACCCCCAGGACCTTACCCCCTTCCATTTTTTTATTAAATAATTGCACCAACCATCCAAAACTAACCCCACCTGCTTTTAAAAATTTCTTCTTTATCGCATCAATCCCCCGGGTGCCTTACCCCCTTTCTTTTTCTACTGCCTCAGAACTTCCCCCCCCTCCAACTGGGGTCTTTCCCCATCCACAAAAGTTTTCCTCCTTGCCCTATACACGAAATCCGTTCCCTTCTTCATCAACATTTAAATTTCCAAAAAATCCCCCCATCTTCCCCAAACCTCTAACTCTCCATTTAAAAACTCTCCCCTTTCCCATTTTTCTGACAAATCCCTTTGTTCTCTAGGCTTTTTTAACTTGTTAACTCACTCCCAAAAATTTTTTATTTTCAACAAAATTTTTTGATAACATCTACCCACTCTTCATTTGCTCTCTTTTTACATTGCTTCACCACTCTCTTTAAAACCCCCTCTTTTCTCCATAAACTCTTCCCTCCTTCATCACTTTTTACTTTGTAAAACTTCTCATATGTAACTTTTTCCCTTACTACCTCTTTAAAATCACATTCCACCAATGCTCCCCCTTTTCCCCCACACCCCCCTTTCCCGTAACCACAAACTTTTGCTGAACACTCTAAACTACATTTTAAACCTACCCCATACCTCTTCGACCCCATTGCCTATGCCTCATTAGCCCATCTATCCTCCAATACTGTTTAAATCTTACCTTAACTGCCTCCTCTTTTAGTTTAAAAAACCTTCACCTCTCTCTTCCCTGATGCTTCTATTCTCCTTGTATCCCATCTATCCTTTTTACTCTCAGTGTAGCTACAAATAGAAAGTGATCTGATATATCTGTGGCCCCTGTATAAACATGTAAAATCCTGAAGTCTACTCAACAGTCTTTTATCTACCAACACATAATCCAACAAACTACTGTCATTTCGCCCTACATCATATCTTGTATACTTATTTATCCTCTTTTTCTTAAAATATGTATTACCTATAACTAAACCCCCTTTTTATACAAAGTTCAATCAAAGGGCTTCCCATTATCATTTACACCTGCACCCCAAACTTACCTACCACACCCTCTATAAAAGTTTCTCCTACTTTTAGCATTTTAGGTCCCCTACCACAATTACTCTCTCACTTGGTTCAAAGGCTCCTATAACATTCCCCTTAACATCTCCCAAAATCCCCTCCTTCCTCTGCATTCCTCTCTTTCTCCAGGTGCATACACGCTTATTTATGACCCACTTCTCGCATCCAAAACCCTTTACTTTAATCCACATAATTCTTGAATTTACACATTCATATTCTCTTTTCTCCTTCCATAACTGATCATTCAACATTACTGCTACCCCTTCCTTTGCTCTAACTCTCTCAGATACTCCAGATTTAATCCCATTTATTTCCCCCCACCGAAACTCCCCTACCCCCTTCAGCTTTGTTTCGCTTAGGGCCAGGACATCCAACTTCTTTTCATTCATAACATCAGCAATCATCTGTTTCTTGTCATCCGCACTACATCCACGCACATTCAATTATCAGAACATAAAAGTTATACAAATTAAAAAGAGAAAAAAGGTATATCGGTAACTCATCTGGAAGTGGAGTGGTTCATGTTGCCATCAGGTGAGTGACAAGTGCCAACTTTGCGACCTTATATCTCCGTAAGTACTGACTAGAATTTTTTTTTTTTACATTACTTAATGTAAAAATATGTCCTCTTCATTTAAAACAAATTTTTTTTTTTTTTTTTTTCAAAATATTCGGAGCACTCTTTCGTTTTTCTTTTTGGGCCACCCTGCCTTGGTGGGATACGGCCGGTTTGTTGAAAAAAAAAAAATCGGAGTGCTGGGCGAGTGAACGCACTCTTGGACAGTTAAAGGGTTAATGAATGTACTCTATATGTATTTCATTACTTAGGGGTGCTTTTTAAATGTTGTATATTACGTGGGTGGGGTGGGGTGGGCTGCCCTGGCTGGCTACCATACTTCCCACACCTGACTTCCTACAAATAAATGTATGACTCGCTTCTCACACTACATTAAGACTACAAATATTTTAAGTTAAGTAATAAGTGTACTGTGTGTGTACACCTACCACCTGACTTACGACCATGCACGGTTCCGACAAACCGGTCATAAGTCAAAATGGACACAAGTCGAACCTTACTACTGAATATCAACATCACAATTTTGTAATGATTTTATTTTGTTTTAGTTTGGTATTTCATATTTTACTTTACTTTTTACGCTGTTAGTAATGTATTTTATACTGTAAGGTTTAGGATAAACACTGTGTACAACACAAACAGTTGTTTATTTCCCAGAAATTTGGCATACAAAACATGGTCGTAAGTCGAGTGGTCATATGTCGAGCAGGTCGTAAGTTGGAAGGTAGGTGTATTTTACTTTTTATTGCATTTCTAATGCCTAGTTCTATTACTAACTTAATATAAGTTAGTGTAAGCTTGTTATCTGGCATTTATAAGTGGAAAAAAATGGTATGCCACTTTAAGGCAGTAGCCTGGAACTTAACTTGCCATACAAGTGGGGCCCTACTGGATATATAAAACATGAAATAACTTTAAAACACTTGAAATTTTGAAAAGTTTCCAGACATAATGGAGAGTTATGCTCACGGAGAATGTTAACAAACCAGGTGGGGTGCAGTGACCGTATTAGAAAGTCAGGTGGGGGGAGTCATATAGAGTTTTGGTGATACTTTGAAATGTCCTTATTAGCAGAATTCTGTAAAGCAGGGCCCTAATGTGTATGCCTTTTACTTTTTTATTGTTTTTTTATGCCTAGTTCTATTGCTAACTTGATACAGTGGAACTTCGGTACTCAAACTTTATTCGTTCCAGAAGGCTGTTCGAGTGCCAATCTGTTCGTGTACCATACGAATTTTTCCCAACAGGTTTTCTATTTGGTTGGCTATTATCACTAATCTTCTTAGACCCCATAATGACTTATTTATACAAATATTATAAAAGAAACTCCAAGAAATAAGAAGAAACATGAAATAGTTTTCAGAGAAGTTCTGGCAGGTCATGTTTGCTTGGTTGAGTGCCAAGCAAATCATTGACTACCAAGCGATTTTTTTTTACCAAACAAAGCAATCGAATACTGAATTGCTCGAGAAGGGAGGTTTATGAGTACCAAGGTTCCACTGTATATGATAGTGTAAACATGTTATCAGGCATTTTCATACATTTAAAAGTAAAAAAAAAAAAAAAAAGGTGATTTGCTCTACACATGCATATGTGTTATGATCTGCATGTGGTTTACAATTAATAAATTTATCACAATTAATATTTCTTGGTTATATTCTGAGCTATTCCTCTTCACCCTATACAACATAACACCTTACCTAGTAGTTGCAAGGAAGTGCGAGAGAGTTAAAACTGCTGGATAGTATCCAGTGAGACAGAGTTCTCGAAGCTCACGGCTAGCTTGCAATTCAGTTCCAGGATCCAAGGTTCCTTTAAGGTGCCTTTTTTCATATCGAGATCGCCACTGCAAGAGACGGGCATGGGTGTCACCTCCCTGTGCAGCAGTTTTGACCCAATTGACACGAAAACAATCAAGACATGTATGAATTCCGTCATCCCCAACAACTTCTGATATTCGACTTAAAACTCTAAAGGCCCAAGAAGCACCAGTCATCTGAAAACCACAAAAAAAACTTCAGTGCATATTGAAAAAGGTAGTTATAGCCCCTAATAAAACCCAGACAAAATAGGAATAATGGCAGACTAAAAAAAATGTGTATTAAGAATGAGGAATTTGGGTAACAAATAATTCACAATGCATTAAAAAAATTGGAGTGAAAAGAATTTTTTGAGGGGTAGTGAATTGCAAGAAAATTATAACTTTTTCTTTTAACATGTCGGCCGTTTCCCACCAAGGCAGGGTAGCCCAAAAACAAAGAAAAAACTTTCATCATCACTTATACATAATTAATGTCTTTGCAGAGGTGATCAGATACAACAGTTTAGACGTCCCTCCAAACTGCCAATATCCTAAACTCCTCCTTTAAAGTGCAAGCATTGTACTTCCTATTTCCAGGACTCAAGTCTGGCTAACCAGTTTTTCAAAATCCCTTCACAAAATATTACCCTGCTCACACTCCAACAGCTCGTCAGGTCCCAAAAACCATTCGTCTCCATTCACTCCTATCCAACACTCGTGCACGCTTGCTGGAAATCCAAGCCCCTCGCCCACAAAACTTCCTTTACCACCTCCCTCCAACCTTTCCAGGGACGACCCCTACCCCGCCTTCCTTCCCCAATATAATTATACGCTCTCCAACTCACTCTACTTTGTTTCATTCTCTCTAAATGATCAAACCACCTCAACAGCCCTTTCTTCAACCCTCTGACTAATACTTCTAGTAACTCCACACCTCCTCTTAATTTCCACTCTGAATTCTCTGTATAATATTTACACCACACATTGCCCTTAGACATGACATCTCCAGTGTCTCCAGCCTCCTCCTCGCTGCAGCATTTACAACCAATGCTTCAAACCCATATAAGGGTGTTGGTACCACTATATTTTCATGCATTCTCTTCTTTGCCTCCATGGATAATATTCTTTGTTTCCACAGATACCTCAACACACCACTCACCTCTTTCCTTTCATCAATTCTATGGTTTACCTCATTCTACATAAACCCATACGCTGACAAGTCAACTCCCAAATATCTGAAAACATACACTTCTTCCATACTCCCTCCCGCCAATGTGATATCCAATATTTCTTTAACTAAATCGTTTGATACCCTCATCACTTTACTCTTTTCTAAATTCACTTTCAACTTTCTATCTTTTCAACCCCCCCCCCCCCAACTCGTCCACTAATCTTTGCAACTTTTCTTTAGAATCCCCCAAAAGCACTATCATCAGCAAAAAGTAACTGTCAATTCTCATTTTGTATTTGATTCCTATAATTTAATCCCACTCCTCTCCCCAACACCCTAGCATTTACTTCTTTTACAACCCCATCTATAAATATGTTAAACAAGCATGGTGACATTATACATCCCTGTCTAAGACCTACTTTTACTGGGAAGCAGTCTCCCTCTCTCCTACACACCCTAACCTGAGCCTCACTATCCTCATAAAAACTCTTTACAGCATTTAGTAACTTACTACCTATTCCACACATCTGCAACATCTGCCACACTGCTCCCCTATCCACTCTATCATATGCCTTCTCTAAATCCATATATGAAATGAAAACTTCCCTACCTTTATCTAAATACTGTTCACATACAGGCTTCAATGTAAACAGCTGATCTGAACATTAAAATGGTATAAAATACCGACAGGTTGTTAGGTCAGACACACATGCAACAGTTAGGTATCTTTATTTCAAAACGTTTCCCCTACACAGTAGGCTTCTTCAGTCGAGTACTCGACCGAAGAAGCCTACTGTGTAGGCGAAATGTTTCGAAATAAAGATACCTAACTGTTGCATATGTGTCTTACCTAACAACCTGTCGGTATTTTATACCATTTTAATGGTCACTCCGTCAGACACTGCAACACAATGGTATCTTGGTACAGACCTGAAATCAACTTGGACAACTTCTACTAGTGAGAATGGCTGGATTTGAGAGGGACCTGACCTCCCAACAACTACATTCTTACCTCTACTAGTGGCCTACATCTCACCTCCTGGCAGTATATAAGGCTCCATCCTGTCACTTCAACTCCATATTGTTTCAGACTATGGAACAATACTCTTCTCCAGACTGAGGGACTGACCACCTCAAAACTTCAAGGGTGATGGACTGATTACATCGTCTTCAAGTCTCTTCTGCTTCTATCAACTTTTCTGTACTCGACTGAAGAAGCCTACTGTGTAGGCGAAACGTTTTGAAATAAAGATACCTAACCGTTGCATGTGTGTCTTACCTAACAAACAGCTGATCTACACATCCCCTACCCATTCTAAAGCCTCCTTGCTCATCTGCAATCCTGCTCTCTGTCTTACCTGTAATTCTTTCATTAATAGCTCTACCATATACTTTACCTGGTATACTCAGCAAACTTATTCCCCTAAAATTTTTACAATCTCTTTTGTCCCCCTACCCTTTATTATACAAGCTCCCCGCCAATTCCTAGGTCTACCTACCTGGAATATACCTCAGGGATAAACGCCGCCACAGACCGGTCCACGACCAGGCCTCCCAGTAGATCAGGGCCTCATCAACCATGCTGTTACTACTGGCCACACACAGTCCAACGTACAAACCACAGTTCGGCTGATCCGGCACCGACTAAGTATCTGTCCAGCTTCCTCTTGAAGGCTGCCAGGGGCCCATTGGTAATTCCTCGTATGCATGGTGGGAGGCTGTTGAACAGTGTTGGGCCCCAGACACTTAAGGTGCCCCTACTTTTCATTGGGGTTATTTTGCACCACCTGCCCAGTCTTTTACTTTCATAGGAGTGATTTCTGTGTGCAGATTCAGGACCATTCATTCTAGGATTTTCCAAGTGTAGATTACAATCTCTCTCTCTTGCCTGCATTCCAGTGTGTATAAATCAAGTGCTTCCAAGCATTCCCAGTAGTTGAGGTGTTTGACAGAACTTATATGTGCAGTAAAAGTTCTCTGTACACTCTCTAGATCTGCAATTTTACTTGTTTTGAACGGAGATGTTAATGTACAGCAATATTCCAGCCTAGTGAGAACAAGTGATTTGAAAAGGATCATCAATAACTTGGCATCTCTTTTTTCTTTGCAGTTGTGATACTGGCCCTGTTGTGATCCTTGAAAGCAAGATCCTCAGACATTACCACTCCCAGGTCCCTCACATTATTTTTTTTGCTCTATTGTATGATCAGAGTTTGTAGTATATTCAGTTGTAATTATTATCTCCTCCAGTTTTCCATAATGTAGTAGTTGGAATTTGTCTTCATTGAACATCATATTGTTTACTTCTGTAATCTTTTGACTACCACCCGCAGGATGGGCATGGGGTGCATAATCAAGATGTTAAACCCTCTTTCATACATTTATTAAACAAAAATACCAACCACTCCAACACTATATCTCCCCCTGCTTTTAACATTTCTGTCATGATCTCATCAATTCCAGCTGCTTTACCCCCCTTTCATGCATCACACACCTCCCCCACACTCACATTCTGCTCTTCTTCACTCCTAAAAGATGTTATACCTCCCTGGCCAGTTCATGAAATTACTGCCTCCCTTTCTTCATCGACAATTAAAAGTTCCTCAAAATATTCCTGCCACCTACCTAATACTTCCAATTCCCCATCTACTAACTCCCCTACTCTGTTTTTAACCAATAAATTCATTCATTCCCTAGACTTTCTTAATTTATCTCACTCCAAACTTTTAAAATTATAATACTGTAAAATTTAAAATTATAATACCATACATTAATACAGTAAACCCTCAATGTTAAGGACTAAAAGGGCAAGGGGAAAAAATAGGTGGCCAAAATGCAATGGAGAAATAAGAATGCTTTGCTGTGATTGCAACAATAATGGACAATTGTGAAACCAATGGTATTTTGTTTGCATTTTGTCCAGCATTTCCAAGTCTACTAAACAGCAGTTTTCCTATAAACAATGCACTCATTTTTTTTCCCTTTGATACTCTTAAAATACTGTACTGAATTGCAAACAAACCTTCACAGTTTAGGTACATAACTGAGCAGACACTGTTAGAGAATACACAAATAACTCGCACATAGGAGAGAGGAGCTTACAACAATGTTTTGGTCCGACATGGACCATTTACAAGGTGTGACTTTGTAAATGGTCAAAGTTGGACCGAAACATCGTCTTAAGCTCCTCTCTAATATGTGCGGGTTATTTGTGTATTGTTCCAGTCATGATATTGTGCCTTTTTGTTCTTTACTGCTAGAGAACAGTAAAGGAAATTAACGCTTTGTACCCTTTGTGAAAGGGTACAAAGCACATTATAAATTTTCTATACAAAAATGAACTGATAGTTGAAAAAAGTACTTTGCTTAACCCGTAAACGTCATAACCGCTAGTGCCCCAAACGTATATATACGCTTTATTTTTCTTGCCTTCAAATTTGGCACGACTGGTCTGAGATGCCTTGTCAGCATAGAATGGGTTCTAACACTCAGTGTGCTCGTTATTAAAAAAATCTGGGACCACTTAGTACCTTGTGGGAGCACCAGTTCAAATGAGTGCCAGCGAGAGCAAACAGCGCAGCAAACACCTTGGATTCACTGATGTCATGTAGTATTAACACTCCCATTTTAAGAGGAAAGTGATTTTGACCCTGAGTTTAGTGGCTTTGAGGTGGATGTGGCCACAAGTGGTCGAGGAAATATCAAAAAAACCTCGATAATAACCCATGTGCAATATTTGTGCAACACCCTTTCAGAAAGTCTTATAACCTATGCCCTAAGTAAAGAGAAACAATTCTGGCTGGCTGGCAGGCAGGCAGGCAGGCTGGCTGGCTGACTGACTGGCTGGCCAGCTGCGTGGCAGCCAGCTGTGTGGTTGGCCGGCTGCTGGCGGCCTGGCTCTATCTCCATTTGTCTGTCTGTATCTCTGTCTATCTTTGTCTCCGTCTACCTGTCTCTCTCACAGGTACACATAAATACAAGTATACAGTGTAAATTACCTAGGATAACCCAAAAAATCCAGACA